AAAACGTGGTAAGTTGGTTGTTCAATTCGTTTTGCTATGAACGGGCTTTGCGGTCGGGATAAAAGGCGTCGGCTTCTTGCTTCTTCAATAAGACGTTGAAATAAGACCAAAATTTCAAAATTCAGAAGAGATGCGCAAATGATGGCCTATTGGGTTAAGTAGAATACTTTCTCAAATGTTGAACTAGCTCTAAAGGGCCAGTGCGAGCCTTTCCGAAGGAGAGGCGGAGCACTGGTAATATAAGAAGACGAAATATTGGAGCTTAATGTACATTAAAATGACGCTAAACCTTTATAAATAGTTTTCCAGTGCTCTGGACAGCCTTACAATGAAAAAAGTGATATGTGGGCGCTGGGCTGCATTCTTTATGAAATGACATGCTTGCAAAAAGCATTTGAAGGGGAAAATCTTCCTGCACTCGTGAATAAAATTATGACGGTCTGTTAATAGTTCTGATTTTTACCCCTATTTCCCTATTCACATCCAGTCTTGCAGTGCCAATACGCTCCTGTACGAGGTCCATATACAACAGAAGTCAAAGTTCTGATTCGGGAATTACTTCAGCTTGACCCAGCAGCTCGACCATGTGCCGCGGACGCTCTTCGTGTAGTGTAACTCATAATTGGTGTTCATCTCTGTAACATATGTGTGATTTCAGATGCTTCGGCCGCAGATTAGGGCACCTAGCATAAGCTCACAACTTGTACGTCGCGCAACAAGATCCACTTTGTACAAATTAGATCCGAGCTCGATTATACTTCGACCTGTAGAGGATCTTCCAAAGAAGATTGTTATAAAGAAGGTGGTTTTTTAAAAAGCTGCGATTTATTCCTAATATTTTCTTCCATTGACAGATTGCCGTGAGCTGCACACATACCATGATGCTGAGCTTTGACAATGAGGTATTCGCATGGGGTTGGAATAATTATGGCCAGTTGGGTTTAGGTGATACTGCTGAAAGGTAAGTGGGATTTGAATCTCTTTTTTTGTCTATGACTGACGTCTTTTCTTCGAAAACCTATGCTACGCTGCATAGTAAAATACTATGTTGAGTTTACAGAGCGCGAATAAAAAATAGTTCGTAAAATGCTTCAAAATTATTGCCTGTGAATCCTACTCCCTCATTTTTGTTGTTCTGCGGCGACCACAATTGTGCATAAACATCTCTTCTAAAATACGATAGCACTGACTATTTAATGCACAGAGTATTCTTTGAATTTTTTTCTTTTCATTCATCCGTCTGCACGAGCTCTGCTAACCCTTTCAACATGTTCGTTTTCAAGGCAGTTCAGTAATGATTTATCCCGTCTATTCTATTCTGGTTCCCATCTTTTCGACTTCTGAGTTTCCGAGCAGCTCGTTGCCGATTCGTCCTTCCGTGAAGATAAGCTTCTTGGACATTCAGACGATTTTGTTATCTTGAACGATTTAGTATTGATGTATATGATTCAGACTGATGATTTCCCTCACTTCCATATATTCGACCTCCTCCGCGTTGAGCTCTGAGCCCCGCAGTCCTACCTGTCACGTACTTTGGAGAAAGGGCAGCCCTATGCTCGAATTTTGAGGCAAACATCATAAAGCTTCTGAACGTGTAATCTGTAATGTAACTCTCACTATTAAGCATCATGTGGGACTTCTGTGGTCGCAGCATCTCGCCCTCTACTGCCCATTGATCTTGTCCCCTGCATTTCTACTGTCATCCTTTCGTGAACCTAGCGGCACGTTGTCACCTTGCCAACGCTGATACATTCCTTCGATGAGTTTGGAGCGCGTTACCTCACCTGTTGGAAACTGATGAGTTTGGAGCGCGTTATCTCACCTGTTGGAAACTAATAGATAGAGCGAAAAGCAAAGATCTACCTCATATTTTCGTAAAAAAA